TCTTTGAGGTCTGTTCTTGAGTGTGCATTATGTTTACACGTTGTGGACCTCCATGGATCTTTCTCTTCACAAGTTCTCTGACTCTGGCTACTGTCAGTTTTCGTTTTATTTATTTATTTGGAAAGGGACCATATACAATATTTAACATAAATGTTACTGCACTGTACCAGATTTAGCCAGCTAACTTACATCCACATTCAGAGAGTGTTGCTTTGTGTGACCTTTGCTGAATGGGCTTCACCTAATTGTACCCACTTTGATTGTAAAAGTTGAATGAGGAAAAGGTTCTTTGAGGTCTGTTCTTGAGTGTGCATTATGTTTACACATGACTGGTTCTCAAAACTTCTTTTGTCTTCCTGCAGTTAAATGTTATTTTTTATTTACACCATCTATGTGCAAATAATCTGCTAGTTTTAATGGGAAATTACATATGATGCACTCACCGGATAACTCTTAACAAAGGATTTATGACTAGAATTTTTACAATGAGTGCTAAATATGTCTGTCTTAGCTTTCTGTAATGGACATTTATCATTACAATTTGATTATGCTCTGTTTCTCCCAATTAGAGTCGACTGGATGTGATGATGAGAACATGACTGTATTTTACCTTACAGTAAATCAGATATGGATTTATTATCTTCTTAATCATGCCATTTCCCACTGTTAGTCTCTGTCAGTGTGTCTGTGTGCATTTGCTTGATGAGTGAATCTACTGGAGACACTGTGTCTCTTCACTTGCTCAATAATTAAACTGAACTGAAAGTTGTCAGGACATATTTGTTCTCCCTCCGTTCATACTTCCATCAGAGGTATTGTGAATTTACAAGGTTCTCCAGTGAGATAAAGATAAATAAAGACTTGTAAAATGGGACAGATGACACACTCTCACACCTGAATACAACAGCTGCAAGTTGCAGCAAGCTAACACTGACCACGTTTATATGCGTCCTTTCTGATTAATGTCAATCCTGTATTCTGAAAATAATGTCTGGAAGTTCTGCATAAAGTAGAATATTTCTGTAAATATGCAAGGGATAGTCCTTGCTGTTCTGTTCTTGAAATAGTATAGTTATTGCTATTTGTTACTTTGCATATCAGTCATGTAATCAACTAATTCTAACTCTTGTTCATGTAACAGAAAAATACAGAAACGTGATGAAATAATAAAAGTCCTCACTATTTCTTTTTTCATTAAATCTTATATCAATTCACATTTTGCCCCATGTGTTCATTTAGAAAGGATTGGCATTTGGTTATTATCACAAGATCTTCACAACCTGAACCCAATTACCACACAGCTTTCATTATGCAAACACTTATTATGCATAATTGTTTATGGACCAGACAGAAAATAATGTATAAAAGGGCCACAGGTGAGTTTATTTGTTTGGGAACAAAAGACAAACTAAAGTAGAAAAGGTGCAAGGGCAATGAGAGAACAATGGTTTCTGATGAGATTTGTGTTGATGGTTGACCTTGGCTGTACAATGACAGTAAGAGAAGCTGAGCAGACACTACAGCCAAATTGAAACCACTTCACTTTAGCGTCTACACATAATGCGTTCACAACAAGAACGATAATATTAGTGTCCACACCAGCGCACGATAACATTTATAAGAGTGCTGTAGCTAATTCTGTCTTCTGCCGCTCGAGCTCGTTGAAACAAGATGGATTTGTAATGTTTTTATTGCTCAAAAATTGTAATTCCAACGATATCATTACCCCCGTGTTATAGTTGTGCTGTGGATTCTGTTTTTACATTTAGAATGATTTTTTTTAATCTGTAGGCCTATTGTTATTGTCCTCCTGGGTATGAATAGACCATTACTGTACATGAACTTGATTTACTTTTTTTTCTCTCTTTTTCTTTTTTTGTAAAAATAGCTGTCTGCAGCACAATAGTAGGCCAGCCTGTTCTATTTTTGCAGAAATGTGAATTAGCAAGCTCAAGGAGGAAGTAAGAAGCTGCAATTAGCAGCATGGTCGTAGTCAATGCTATTTTCTAAGAGAAACTCAGACCTGTATGGATGAGAATGAGAGTGTTTTGCGAGGAGTCGACAAAATTGGTTTTTAGCAGTCTTTTGGCATGCTGCATTTTCTGCATCCCTGCCACCTTGGCCTATGTGGCAGATTTTTTGGCTGTCCTCAATTGTTTTTGGAATAATTAGTCATCAAAAGCAGAAGAAGCACTGTGGAGATTAGCTTGGAGTCTTGCCAGGGCTGGATAAGGAGGGTAATTCCCCTGCGGCCTGCTGGTCAGGGCTACAGTGTGATATAGATGACATTCTGAATGCTTCTTAATGTAGAGGAAATTCATTCAAATTATTTGTAAATCAATGAAGTTTAAACAAGGTCATTACCTAGCATAGAGTAACATTCCCACCTGGCCAGCTTTTTCTGCAAAGTCATTCTAAATGTTGGCTTTACTTCCTGATGCTGTAAAGAATGGATGAATACATGCTCTGAGAATGTGTAGTAGTACTAAAACTCTCATAAGAAAGATGCTTTAGCTACACAGAGATCCAAAACTTTGCAATACCACATTTTCTGGCATGAAGCCCATTTCTGCCACATTAAAAAACAATGCTTTGGTAAATCATAATTATGGCATCAGTTATGCCAAATATTTAGACTTTGTCATATTTATTTTTACCTTATATTTTCCCCCAATTTTTTTTATTATGGTTTACCAAAAGAATAAAAAAAAAATTCTTATGTTGTGAAAATGGGTTTATGTAGAAGTTATGTGAATACTTGTGCTAATCTAATAGTCTTTTAAATCCACAAGAGGGCGATGTAATACCATTGAATCTGTGATTCAATGGGTTTTAATAAAGATAATAAACTGTAGAATTTATCTTGATATATTTAACTTAACAATGTGTTTTTTTCTGCCTTTTTAATTACATATAATTAATTTACATAGGAGAACATAATGCAGTAATTTAATAAAGTATCCAACATGAGAAATCAATATATGACGTTTAAAACAAACCTATTGAAATTGCACTCATCAAACCACACAAATTTAATTCAATTCACAATCAATATTTTGTCATAATTCATCTGACTCAATTGAATATCTGTGACCTGTTAAACAAAACAAACTGAAAAACACTTGGCCCAAGTTTGGAATGAAAGAATGAATTTTGGAGACATTTCAATTTCAGAGATTTTTCTTTAGGGTTGGTCTTCAGGTACCAAAGGTTGAGATTGCGCCTCTCCATTCTTTCAAGTCCAAGGAAGTTACTGCCCTCTTCCAGGAAGCAATGGTTTCGCACAACCTTGTCTATGAATGGCATCTCTTCTGCTGCTGAAGAGGAAATTTCGGCATCCTCATCGGGGACCAGCAGATTGATTCACAGGCTGAGCGAGGAAAAAGGTGTTATCCATCTCCAGAGGATGCTATTAGTGTACACAGCACTGAATCAAAGTGACACAATGATCCGCTCCACATCTAGGCAGGGAGAAATACAGCTTTTGATGCAAAAGCTGGGTTTTTAGTGACCTGGTCAGGGATTGCCAGCTGGGCGGATGGTCAAAAGTCGTTTCTCTTCATCATGTTCCAGTGCATAAGGGCTGCAAATCACATGCTCAGTCAGAAACAAATCACACACACAGTTTGTTTACCCAGCAAACGCCTGAGGCCTCTACGAAAAGCACCACAAACAATTTTAGAACTGTTTTTTGGTTGTCTGCAAGCTAATTTTTCCACGGAGTGACCTCTCTATGTTTGTCTTTTATCTCCTGTCATTTTAACACTTTCAACAGGAACTGACCGAACTACATCAACATGGCATTGCAGAGTGGCATAGTTGAGCGGACATTTGCCCTCATAGTCACAGGTGTCTGATTGAGCACCACTGAGTACCAAAAGTCATTCAGCATCCAGGTATCCATGCTGACTTGGTCTACATCCGCCCCGTGCCTGAGGAGCAGCTGTATGAAACAAGCGTGCACGCTGGAGTGTTTCAGTTCAGCGGCGCACATTAACAGAGTGCGGCTGGTTACACCTTCAATCTCCACACACACATTTACCGCATCATTTCCCAAAGCCACAAGGATGAAATGCGCAAGCTGGACCTTCCCTTCCCTCATAGCTTGCAGAAATATCCTTGCCCCGGGCCAAAGTCCAGAGTGGGCGCCTGAATGCTTTTTAATATAATCAAATACATTCATATCGTCTGTGTGCCACCCTGGGTTGTGTCTTTTTGGGCTTTTGAATTGTCTGTGTGCTTAATAACGCATTGATTTGGTAGACAGGCCTTCAGGCCAGTCTCCTCTTTCTCTCTGCCCCTCCCTGCCCAGATGTCCTCTTTCCATAAACAGCTTGATATTGTGTTTTGGCCTGCAGTTCGTCCCCATTGTTTGTTCTGTTCATGCCCCATATTTCATGTGCTCTGATTCTCGTCTATTCAGGTGAGCTGTCTTCTTTCTGTGAGGTTGGCCGTGTTAACATGGGGACTGGGTCTCTGACATGAGCTTATTGAAGAGTAAACGAGGGCAGAGAGCAGCTGAGTTGTGTAGAATATTGTACAAATGATTGCCCTTGAAATGTCCTACGTAATAGGTGTGTGTAATTGCAGGTTCATTTGGTGCCCAAAATCACCTATATATACAATTCCATGATTTTTCACGACTTTGTATGATTTTATTAATTTACTTTTTTTATATGTAATATTTTAATATTTGTAAAGAAAATATAGTAACTTCATGGACCTCCAGTTTTAATTTAACACACTGTAGTTTTAGTTTTATTTACAAAATAATCTTTAATGCCAAAAAAACGTTTAATGCTGAATCTAAGAACTATATGTTTATGGGGGTTTAAAGTTTTTACAACATGAATAAATGAACAATACACTGACTGCAATATTTAAAGCTCAAAATCATGAATTGAATTAATTCAACCTTTTTGGGTCACCTCAGGCCGCAGTAACTTAGTCCGATAGGGGGCGACAACATGCCCGAGCGCAACTATAACAGCTGACAGACAATCACGAAGAAGTGTTTTGTTGTCATGGCGGTGTTTTAAACTGCCTGGCACTTCCTATAAACAAATCTTGATTTTAGCTTCTCTTTACCATCTTTCTGTCATGTTTAAACATAATACAACGGATTTACTCGTCGGCTGTCCATTTGTCTGTGTTTTCGTGTGATAAATCAATTGCTTTTTGCAGTCGATCGGATCAGTCAGTAGAGAATTATTTGCTCTGAGAAGGATTACTTAAGCAGGATTGGTTGAATTGATTACTTCCATCAAGATAGCTGGTAAAATATATTATCAGGATGATTTCAGATTTCCAAAGGGTGTCTGCTATGACCATTGGTGAACTGGGCTCTGTGAATCGTGAATGGATTAAAAAAGGCTCCTCTGGGTCTCAAATGACTGGTCTGCAAACACAGGTGAGTTACTGATGCAAGAACGTATTGTCCTATATAATGTAATGCTGCATGCTATATTCTTGTGCATTTGATAAATAAAACTTGATTTTGATGCTGATGAGCACGCTTCTCGTTCATTCTCATTGGTTGTGATTCTTCTCTTCACAGCTTCAGTTCAATAACATAGTGACAGCCAGTGTTCTTAACCGAGCCACCCACGTGGTACCCCCTTCTCCCATCATAATAGAGAAACTTATACCCCGTACAGAAAGGCAGGATGATCTGGAGAGCTGCAGCAGCTCCGTACGTCTCTCAGTCCTCTCAGAAGAGCGTCTGCAAGCTGCCGTCAGACTCGCCAGGAGAGATCTATGCAGGAAACGTCAGGAATCCATCAGCTGTTTGTCACTTGAGCCAGCAGAGAGATCCCAGAATATAAGCCCTGAAAGAAGCAACATAGATTACAGTCCTCATGTGGTCCACCCAAAGATGTCAGGTCCAAAGAAACAATTAAAAAATGGTGCTCAGGTGCTTGTTTATACTCCTCATGAACCCAACAGCCAACTTAAACAGGGCCAGCCACCTACCAAAGTCCTCGACCCGAGAGTCAACAGCAGTGAACCTCAGCTCACCCAGGAGATCCGGAAATTACAGAAGGAGCTGAGCACATATGTGCAAAGGATAGAGCAGATGGCTAATGAAGGTATTCCTTATTAATCCTAAGCACCCGTAGTATGTCTTTTTTTTACACTTTTTAAGAGATGTGCATGTGGGTTTTCTGCAGGTCGTGCTGTGGAGGATCTGGAGCCTGATGAGAAACAAAGGATGAAGATCCGGCGACAGGAGCAAGCAGCCCGTTCTGCACGCATCATCTATGTGTTACAACAGCAGGTCTGTGAGCAGAACTGCAATTCACAAACACAAAGGTGGCACAGTGATGTGCTGCCCTTTTAAGAAATAAAAATCTATTTTTTAGTACTGCACAGAAGTCGCACAGAACTTTTAAACTGGCCATAAAGCAGAAAATAATTTAAAAGGTTTAAATAAAAGCAGAGTAGGTTTCCTAGGGATAGTAATTGTGAAATAATTATGAAATTGTTAGAATGATTATTTTGGACATAATCTTTCACAATTCCATTTGTTCACCATTGTAAAATGAATGAATAATGAATGTATGAATATATCCACACAAAACAAATGATTACCAGTACATTTAAAAGAAAACCATAGTAGATTTTCTAGGGCTAATTAACGTAAATATTTGTGAAATAATTCTAAAATAATGATTTCAGACATAATTATTCATAATTCAACTTATTTACCATGGTAAAATGAATTAAATACGGAATGTATAAATATATCTACACAAAACAAATGACCGCCAAATATGTTTGAAAGAAAAACATAGTAGGTTTTCAAGGTCTAATTAACATAAATAATTATAAAATAACTATTTAAGACATAATTTTTCATAATTCTGCTTATTCGGCATGGTTGAGTGAATGAATGTATGAATATATATCCACACAAAACAGATGACTGTCAATACATTTGAAAGAAAAGCATAATAGTTTTTTAAAGAGGTCCTATTATGCTCTTTTACAAAGTCTGGATTTTGTTTCGGGGGTGTACTAGAACAGGCTCTCATACTAGGTTGTTCGAAAAACACATTATTTTTCACATATTTTTACATTATTACAACACCTCTCTCCTCAGTCTGGCATGAACGGCTCGAATAGTTTCTGTATCAAATGAAGGCCCGCCTTCTGAAATACGAAATGTGCTGTGATTGGTTAGCTGGGCCAGTGTGTGCTGTCATTACCATAGCCGCCTGCGAGCTTCAGTGTAAATATTGCATCAAAATCAAATCAATTTGAGCGGAATTTAAACCCAGATGATTGTAATCACTCTAAGTTCGTCTGCCTTGGGAAAGCTAGCGTGTCTCCGACACAGTGATAAGAGTTGTTGCCTTCTCTAGTGCAGCTCATCCAGGTCTCGTTCCAGTCGTCGGTATTTGTGACGTGACATGACATGTGACCAAGTATGGTTACCCATACTAGGAATTAGTGCTCTGCATTTAACCCATCCTAAGTGCACACACACGGCAGTGAACACACACACCGTGAACACACACCCGGAGCAGTGGGCAGCCATTTATGCTGTGGCGCCCGGGGAGCAGTTGGGGGTTCGGTGACTCAGGGCACCTCAGTCGTGGTATTGAAGGTGGAAGAGAGCGTTGTACATTCACTCCCCCCACCTACAATTCCTGCCGGACCTGAGACTCGACCTCGCAACCCTTGGGTTACGAGTCCGACTCTCTAACCATTAGGTATCTTTGTGATATATATATATATATTTGTGATATCACAAATCCCGGAAAATATGAGTTGTAGTCCAGACAAGTCGTTCGTTGTAGTTTTTGAAAAGTGATTTCTGTTAAATAAAATATCTCCTTTTGAATTGGACTTTGAGCTTTGTAACTTTGCAGATCTTTTTTATGCTCAAACAGTAACATTACAGACTAACTAAAGTTGAAAAAGTGAAAAAGCGTAATAGGACCCCTTTAAGGCTAATTAACATTACTGTGTAACATAACTGATTTCAGACATAAGTACTCATAACCACCCATTTCACAGATATAGTGCACACGTTTAGCTACAAAAGTTGAAATATCTCAGTGCACATGATGTTCAATTTGGATCCAAAAATTCAGCATATGGATATAGTCAGAAAATCATGCAAAACCATGGATTTTTGTACATGAATGACAACTGGTTTGTCATTTTTCAGAGATAAAAAGGCGGCTTTAAAGATCCACAATGGGACTGTTTTGTTGTTCTGTTCAAGGTTAAAGAAATACAGGAGGATCTAGACAAGCTGCGTTCCCAGAATGTCAAACACACCCAAAAGGTACCAAAGTTAATTTCGCCCCCAAAAAAATCGATATTTCATTATAGCTTGATTTTAAAGTGCAAGAATGAATCATGCAAGGGTTTTAAATGTTTCTATGGATGTCTTCTCAGTCCAGGGCAATGGACAAACTGGCTGCTGCTCACCGGGGGGCTGTAAGAGCCATGCAGGTTTTTATCAACCAGCTGTCAGACCCTGCAGAGAACAGAGTGCCCACCCACTGCAAAGAGCTGGGGCAGCTGATTCGCCAGCTCTCTCTCTGCTCAGCCAAAGCAGAGGTGGGGCAAGGATCTGCTGTACCAGAGACAGCCCTCGACATCCTGCAGAAATTAGAGGTGATGTACCGTATATAAGCACAATAAACGTTCAGTGAATGTCAAAGCCTTAATTTAATGCCATTTTGTTTGTGATTGCTCAGACGCTGGACTCAGCACTGAGTAAGCAGGAGACACCCAAGGAAAGAGATGTAGATTTACAAAATGTCAACCCAGTGGAAAAGACTTCTACCAGGGTCAGGGCCCGCAGCATGTCCCCTCCCCGTCCTGCCAGAGCACCAGCTGAGAGGACCTCACAAAGACCCCGAAAGCCAGCTGCTGCAAAAAAGCCTGGTGGTGAGTCATGACAACCAAAGTGATGTTCATTTTTCAAAAAGAGTTTTGCTTTTGTTTCTGACCATAAGTCATGTCTGAATGTCTTTGCATTACATAGCAAAACATCTAACCAAGTTTATTTATTATTTTATTTATTTTTTTTTTAACACACAAACACACTGAGTTCTTAGAAAACTAGCAGCATTTGTTTTGATAATTTGTGAGTATAACTCAACTGTACTTTTTGGGCCACTGTATATGAAAATCATATTCATCAAATCAGTATTTAATAATTTATCTTGTGTAGAAGTGGTTTGCAGCATGAGCTGGTTGCTCCTTTTGTAGGTATTTGATTTCAGGGTATTGCAAAAGAAAATCTGAGATTTTGTTAATGAATGCAGGCAGCAGACTGGCAGCAAAATCCCACAGGACCTCACAAGCACTGGTGAAGGAGCGCAATGAAGTTCTGAGGGCAGGGCTAGAGAGCCTCTTACATCATCAAAAACTGAGAGCGACAGAAGCACAGAAACCCAACAAAACTTCCAATGCCATCAACCCAGACCATGTTAAGGTTTTTTTTTTAAATTATCATTATTAATGATAATTTATTTATTCTTCGTTTAGTTATGGCTCTCCTTTTTATTGAGAAACACTAACTTTCAAAATTTTTGAGTTAATAATATTTTGATAGAAATTAAAATTGATCAAATGTGTCAGTAAAAATATTTATTTTTAATAAATGCTTTTATATTAACTTCAAACAGTCATGAACATTTTTTATGAAGGTTTCCACAAAACCATTAAGCTGCACAACTGTTTTCAACATTGATAATAAGAAATGTGCACCAAATTAGCATTAGAATGTTTTTCTGAATGATCTTGGGACACTGAGACTGGAGTAATGACTGCTGAAAATTCAGATTTGCCATCACAGGAATAAATGACATTTTAATATGTATTAAGATAGAATACATTTAAATTCGTAATAATATTAATCTTGCTGAACCCAAACATTTGAATGTTAGTGTATGTTTGTAGTTTTCAAACAGCTTTCAAAAAAAAAAAAGATAAAAGACACACTGTCTCTCATTCAGCAGGCCAGTCATGTTCGTGATGCCAGCTTCCAGCAGCCCACTGTCTCATCCCGACTGAGGGAAATCCAGGTAGCTCAGAAAGAGCCCACTGTGCCTTGGATACCAACATCCCCTCACTCTCCTCCTCGCCCACGGTCAGTACATCCAGTCCCTTCATCCATACAGTGGGGCAAAAAAGTATTTAGTCAGCCACCAATTGTGCAAGTTCTCCCACTTAAAAAGATGAGAGAGGCCTGTAATTTTCATCATAGGTATACCTCAACTATGAGAGACAAAATTAGAAAAAAAAAATCCAGAAAATCACATTGTAGGATTTTTAAAGAATTAATTGGTAAATTCCTCGGTAAAATAAGTATTTGGTCACCTACAAACAAGAAAGAGTTCTGGCCCTCACAGACCTGTAACTTCTTCTTTAAGAGGCTCCCCTGTCCTCCTAAATACCTTTTTTCCCCACTGTATTTGTCTTGCACACAGGACTTTACATGCTTGCACCTTTGTGTTCTTCTAATATATATGAATATATACACCTGTGTAGTGCTGTGTCTAGCCGGCCAGAGCCCAGATGTCTGTTCTCACCTAAAAAGAGCCCTGAAAAGCAGAAGCCACAGACCAGACCGAGTGGCAGCACACAGCTCAGCCCTTCATCACATGACAGGAATCAAGCCCAAAATGAAGCCCTCAGGTATGTAATGAACCCTCTCTTTTTATTATCACTGGGCTCTCTTTCTAACTAAATGATCATCACTATGATCACTATAAAATGCTCATGTTCGCTGCTGAAGATGATCTTTTTGGACTGTTGAGTATGAGACAGCAGTAGAAGCTCATTGGTGTGTATGTTTATGTGCTATAGGCAAGTCTGGCTGGACCGGGTGACTGCAGACAGACTAAGAGAACTGAATCATCTGAGTAAAGAGGAGGCTGACCGCATTAGCAAACTCCGGTATGATGGCAGCTCCCTCATTATTATGTTAACCAGTGGTTCAATGAACTGTGTATGCAAGAAATGAGTTTTGCTGCTTGTTTAATTGAGTTAATTAAAATCAACTAATGCAGTGCATTTCTTGAACATTTTATCACGAAATTTCATTGGTTGCCATCAATTTAAATGAGCAAGTTGAAATAATCCATTTGCGCTGAATAATGATGAATGGAAATCAAGATCTAGACAAACTGGCTGGAAATTAATTTGAGTGTTTTTTTTTTCTCATATCATCTGTCTATGGAGTTAATTTAATAAATATACCACTACATTTTAAAAAAATGTTTTTTTTTTCATATTATATGCCAGAAAAACAACCAAAAAAAACCTTTTTAATGTAATACTTATACATTCACTATTGTAATAACATTATATATGCATAAAGCATCAATAATCATTCAATCAGTCGTTCCTTTGCATGTAGTTGGCATAACTAATTTAAAGTTAGTAAAAGAATAATTCTGTCTGTTCAAACTTTTTTTTACATTTTGTTAATATTAGGTTAATGAGGGGAAAAAAGGTTAATTGAACTTTTTATTATTTGAGTGTTTGTTTGCGTTGATTTGCATTAATATGTGGCAATGGTAGGACCACAGTGGGCTCTCCGACACAATGGGCAGAAAGGGCTGAGCAGGCTGCTAGAGAAAGAATTCAACCTTTGTTGGATCAAGCAAAGGTAAAGACATTCATCTGATGTTGTTTTCCCCAAATAATGTCTGAGATGTTAGTGTATCAGCAAGAGCTATAAATCCTTGTATGACTGAGTGTAGAATTTGGACCATTTTTACCTCATATTTGAATGTTTTTCCCTTCGAGCATACTGTGAACAGATGTTGTGTGTGGATGTAAATAGAGAATTTCTGTCTCTATTGTTTCTGTCTTATATTTGTATGGCAGGTGGTTGGAGCACGAAGTGACACACTCCGAGAGCGGCTGAAGGTTGCAGATAAGGTCAGAACTCACACTTTTCTTCACTCTCGTATTCCTGCATCTTCGGCACCAAGAACTTATGTAAATTGAATATTTAATGAAGGTTCAATTTACAACCGTTCACACAATTTTAATTTAAAGTGTTCTGTTATTCTGTGCTGTGTTGTGCTGCAAATGCCAACAGCCTGGGGCCAGTCCGGACGTACTGAGCGAAGCTCTTCTGGAAGATCTTCTGGAGGATGCAGCTCGAGCTCTGTGGGTGACTGAGAGGCAGCAGGTGGCCGAGGCTGATGCTGAGAAGCAGCTGCAGGGCCCCACTTTAGAGAGCATGTTGCTGAGGATGGAGGAGATGGAGGTCAGTGTGTGGGAGCTAAAGGCATAGATTATAAGATTTGTAAGTTTGGAGTGATGCCACAATTTTTATAATTTAATGGTATGAACTTGTAATATTTTCTTATTTATTTATATATTTAGTAATAATAATAATAATAATAATAATAATAATTATAAAAAGTTATTAAAAGTAAAAGAAAGTATAACAATTATAATATAAAATTCTCATATTAAAAGAAGTGATAAAATAAAAACAAAATTATTATCAAAAAGTTAAGTTATAAGTAAAATTAATAATAATAATAATAATAATAAAATAGAAATTATAAAAAAAAATTTATATATTTTTTTTATTATTATTTTCCTGAAAAAATTGTTTTCTTTGAAACATTTTCGTTGGTTAAAATAAATAAATATAAAAGTAAAATAAATATTAATTTAATTAAAAATAAATTTAAATTTTAACTTAATTAAAAATAAAATAATAAAATAAAATAAATTATGAAATCACATGACTCACAAAGCTGTATTTTGTTACCCAGAGAGACCAGGAAGAAGTGCGTCGGCGCTTTGCTATGATCTCATACTCTGACCCTCTTATCTGGGAAAAAGGCACAGGTGAGTCACAGGACCCAGATGGGCCATTTACATTCCCCAGTTGATAGTAGACAGAAAAACTGACAAAAGTAGTTATCAGTTGTCCTTTCAGGAGCATCAGAAGGTCAGTCTCAGGGTCTCCCCACTTTGTTCCAGGAGCTTTGTTCCTCTGCATTTTGTTTGGCTGACATGACAGTGGTTTCCACCAGATGGCAGCAGTGTAAAACGTCCTGTGTCTTGCAGATGCTCAAAGGAATATTACTAGCTCTAGGCCAGCCTCTCCTCAGCCAATCCGACTGACGAAACCAGTCCTGAATGCACCCAGTACGGCCAACATCCTCCTGCAAAAGCCAGTGGAGACTGGGTGAGTGACTATCAGCTGATTTTACAGTGTATTGACTCCTTGTATGCCAGGCACATTTGGATCAGTCACAATTTAATCAGTCTTCACTTGAATTGTAGGGGAACTGCACATTGACCAGGGTGTTTTTTGCACTGCAATATCTGTCTGTTTAGGGAATATTCAATAACAGCTACATGAAAATTGAATTCCAAAATATCTGCTGGTAAAAGCCAGTCTTTCTCCCTCCGCCTCCTCCTTCTGTAGTTCTGCCAAGAGAGAGCGGGAGCCTCGCTTCTTTCTGCCCAAAGCTTTGGCAGCAGCTGTGGCTCAGTAAATGAATGAGGAAAATAAAAGCATAAAAAGGGACAGTCTTGAGGGTGTGAGAGTTGTCTAAAGCAAGAGGGGCATGATGGGAAATTTAGTGGAACAGGTTCAATAGATACATTAGAAGATTAAAATCCTTTCTCCTTTTCTGCTTCAGCTCGCAGCGAGGCCCTTCAGCTTTGTGAACGCGATGTAAACATTCAGCCTCCACTTTCTTTTTCCTCTCTCGACGTAGGAGCACAATGTTTTTTCAATTTCAATAATTTATATTTGCATTTATTCATGTAGCAAATGCTTTTATCAAAGCGACAACATAAGCAAATCATTCTAAATGCTGCAATAAAAAGTTTCAAAGGTACATATTAATGTAATGATGTAAGTGTGAGAGTAACAAGTAAATTGCTAATGGATGTGGAAGCGTATGTGTAATAGCATTATAGCATATACTATGTTACATCTACCACTTTTCCGGCATTCATGTCGCAGAGTAAAAAAAACAAAACAAAAAAAACAACTATATATATACAGTGGGGCAAAAAAGTATTTAGTCAGCCACCAATTGTGCAAGTTCTCCCACTTAAAAAGATGAGAGAGGCCTGTAATTTTCATCATAGGTATACCTCAACTATGAGAGACAAAATGAGAAAAAAAAATCCAGAAAATCACATTGTAGGATTTTTAAAGAATTTATTTGCAAACACAGTATATTATATATACCTTGGTTTTGACATCACAGTCATTTTTTTTATTATTATTAAACAATGGTTTACTGAACAAATTGCTTTTTCTTTAAATAAATTCAGTTAGTATTAAAATTTTCTTAGGGATAAAAGTCTACCTCAGCTTCTGCTCTAAACTATAGGGAGCCCTTTACATTACTATAAGGTTACAATTAACAACAGAGCCCAAACATAAATTCAATTACAATATTTTGAACTATAATTTTCAACACCCAAATTAAAAATTTGTATGCAAACGTGTAAATTGCATATAATGCAGTTTTTAAATTAACATTTAAATTATACAATTTGTATTTGTTGTTGAAACATAATAATTTACACAATGGCTGTCATAACTTGTTTCATAAATTATTTATTTAAACTTACATTAAATAATTAAGACCACTAACCGGTAAAGTAAAATATAATGAAGTATATAGTATTATATTTCTCAAAATGCTCTTCTATAATAGCAAACTAACGAGCTGTGGACACTGATGACTTGCTGCCATTAGAACTGAGGCTTCTATACAGTGATCTGTCTCGCCACATCAAAGAGTGCCAAACGGCTTGTAAATAATTAAGACAATCGATTAAAAAATCTATTAAGAAAATTCTCCCATTTGATGTGGTTGTAAAGACGTTATGCGTCTAAATAAATGAAATTCTTGTCAAGAAAAAAAACGAGACGGAAGCAGCAGTTGTGAGTAGCTTCACCCCTGAAAAAACAATCCCATGCGTTAACATGCTAATTGTGACATTACTAATATGTATGAATATGTGTGACTGTGTGTGTGTATATGTTGTTGTTTTTTTCTTTTTAACAACTGTTGTGAACAACCCTGCAATATATTTTATATGCAAGTTAGGTAGGTAACTGCTAATTCATTGTCTGCCTTTTGTTGCCGCCTCCCTGTTATCATACAGTGCTGCAGTGTTGGGCATTTGTTCACTGGTCTCAGGTCAGTGAGCCACATGCTTCTCTGACTTTCCTTGTAACAAAAGAAAATGGCACCAACTTCAATCTGGAACCGTTACAGACAGATAGAGGGACTGCAATCCTTTTATAGTAATATTTGTGTTACCATACCTTTGCATGTAAACATATTCAATTAACATCCCAGATAGTAAGCACAAGGACTGGTTAGCCCCACTTGAAGATTTCTCTACTCTCCCTATATTCCAGTGCATTCACCATGGGTGTTTGGGTTAGCATGGATGTCACGGGCTGCTGAGAATCGAGGCTGCATGGGCTATGGTTTCTCTCCGCTGCCCCTGATCTGAACTATTGTTTGTATTTATTTATCCTCAGCCAGTAACTTAATGCTGACAGAAAACATCGGCTCTAAAATGTCATTGCACCAGGAGACTATTCTTCAGTCTCTCTTACGGGGTCTGTGTTGAGACATGAGCAATGACTGTGACCACGATTAAGATCCCTCTGGAGAAATCCAGTGAGCTGCAGTGACTGATAGGGATGCAGGGATCAAAGCTCTGGCAGTTACACTGGCAGTTTTCCAGGAGAAAATCACAATAGAAGATTATTTTTGGGGTTGGTTAGATTTTTAAAAAATGCTTTTGAAAGAAGCCTCTTGTACCAAGGCTTCATGAATTTAATCAAAAATACAGTAAAACAGTAATTTTGTGAAATACAAATTACAATTTAAAACAACTGTTTTCTAGTTGAATATATTTTAAAATGTAATTTATTCCTTTGATGGCAAAGCTGAATTTTCAGCAGGCATTACTGTAGTCTTCAGTGTCACATGATCCTCCAGAAATCATTAAAAAATAGTGATTTGGTGCTCTAGAAGCATTTCTTATTATCAATGTTGTAAATGGTTGATCTGCTTAATATCTGTGTGAAAACCGTGATAACTTTTTTCAGGATTCTTTGATTAATGCAAAGTTCAAAAGAACAGCATTTGTTTGAAATATTTGTTTACTCATCACCAACAGTTCTGTATATACTATATATATAGTATAATGTTATTTTATAATGAAATATTAAGCACAATATTTTGTAATATTTTATATACTTATAACATGGAATATTATATATAAAAGATTGTCTAAAAGCTCTTGTGCTATTATAAAACAGGTATTTTTTTAAATTATTTTTAGCATATTGGATTTTCATTTCACCAATATCAATAGATAAAAAGCAAAATGATTTGATAAATTACACTTAGAATATACATTTTGTACTGGTTTGTCTAACAGAAATGCCCCCTTTTTGTGTAAAATCTTCACCTGTTCTTTTTAATCACTACATCAGGTGCACCAATTAGTTAAAATCAAGTGCAAGTTAGTATAACCACATTAAAGAGGAAGGATGACACTTATAATACTGTAATACAATACTGTAGCTAGTAAGTAGTCTTGTATCCAAAGCAACTTTATATTACACTCAGTGTCATTGCATTATTTTGAAGGACAAGATCTTGACATCACTTCAGGATTCTTGTCTGCTGATGAAGCTGCCAGCTGGCCAACTAATGCGATATTTCATTTCTCTGACTCAGGAAATGGCTGTCACTGAAAGCTTTTTCCCAGTTATTTTTGGCTAATCCTTCCAAAAGAAGTGTTCTGCGTTCATCCTGCTTGCAGATTATAGTGACGACTTGGCAACTGCTGTTCCTTTAAAAGCCACATAGATGGACACTGCGCTCTTGATCAGAAAGTTACAGTCAATCTGCTCATCAGCTCTCTCTTAATGCCGTTCATTCTTCCAGCCTCAGTTGTTAATTCTATCCTTATGTTACAGTTTTATATATTAGAATCAACCTAATGGTTCAATCAAACTCTCATGGAACATTTTACATCCTTTTCTGCAGCTTATTTACATCAGAATGGACAATTATTGGGCGGATGTGGCCAGGAAAGATAAAAATTGTGGAAAATGAATTATGCTAAGCATTATGGTAATTATTCGGCTTTTAGTACAACCACTAAAGGCCAAGGCCGAACGGATTTATGATGATAAACCAGTAAAAATGTATTTGTGTATGAAATGTGCCACCAGAGGGGGCAAGGTCTGGGGTCTTTGTGTCGGTGTAGCGCGTGCTCATGGGAGGTAATTTGAGGAGCGGATATTGGGCCCTGATGTTGATTAGCACGCAGAGTTTATTATTTGTTGTCTAATCTGTGATTACCTGTGTAGACGACACACTGTTTGACATGGAAACACTGCAGAGTTTGTAAATGCCATACACAAACCGATTGGGGATTTATACAGTTCACTTGCCATTGTTAGACTGGTTGCAAAGCAGCAGTGCGTATCCTTACTGTAGCACAATAGAGCTGTCAGTGTGGCTTTGCTTTTTAGCTTTTGTTGTTGTTTTTTTTTTATATTGCGTGAACCATTTTGGTTTGAGAAAAGGGATGTAAGGGGGCCGGAGGGAGAAGCTAAAAAGCTCTGCTGAGGCATAATCAGTTATTGTGCTCAGATTTGTAATGAAACTCAATACATGTGTTTGCTTCTCGCTTTTTCTCTCTCTGTGATTTTTGATTTTTCTATCAGTGGGTTGGAGAGTCAAGTGTCATTTGATGCTGCCGTAAAAGCATCAAACAGACCAATATGAGCACTGAAATCACCAGCCACTCCTCTTCCATTCCAGTCCATTTTAGTATGCTCCTTTAACATCAATATTTCATACAATACTCAGACAGAGAGGAAGGATTTTAATGTAAAAGAAAATTGTGCACCAATTCTGTTTTCTTTATGTTTAAGTTGATATTTCAGTTTGACATAAAATGGCATTCAGAGTTGCACTGGATTTGATTTTATCCATCTTATTCATCTTGAATGGGTGAAAGTGGGCAGTACAAACAAGTGTTACAGGTGGTTGTAGAGGCATGGTTGAAAAATGAGAATGCAGGGTGCCTGGGAAATTGTTTTATAGAAGGCAAAAAAATAAAAAAGTAGTATTTTTATTCAAGCAAGGATGCATTAAACTGAACAAAATGTATAATATTACAAAATATTTCTATTTCAAATAAAGGCCTTTTATTTTATTTTAACTCTATTCATCAAATTAATTCATAATATAAATCCTGAATTTTGTTTATGCATTTTATGAAGAAATGAAAGCCATTACACATATAAACTTATGAATAGATGTTCATTTCGATGATTTGTTAGTTTTATTAGCTGTCACTTTCGTGCATCACATGCATAGGGCCACAATGTTTATACAGTAGCCCATCTCATCCCGCTAGCACAAAGCGTATTGTTCGTTACCATGGCAACCGCTTGGTCTTCGATCAGCATCCCGCTTCTTGCAGGACAAATGCTTAATG